AAGGAAAGGAAAAAGGGAAAGAAAGGAAAGGAAAAAAGGAAAGGAAAGGATTAGCAGTTTGGGTCACAGCCAAGTTAGTTTCTCATTGTTGTGCTGGTTGTAAGCCATCCAGAGTTGTTTGAAATGGGTGGCTATTCAAATGTTTCAGATAAGTAACTCAGCCAAAAATAAATGCATTCACCTGCCAGATTAACTGATCTGTAGGATCACAGAATTCCAGGCCTGGATTCAAGCTGGCACAGTCGGTGTGCAAAAAATTCCCTTATAAGGGAGACTGACAGGAAGGGAATATCTAATTCGCTTCTAGCATACTTCGTGCACGATTCCTTTGCACCCCTTCTATATCTATTCTTTGGCGAGATGGACAGTTGTAGACATTTGACATTTGATCAGTCAAGGAGTCAGTCAATTAATCTTCCCTCCAGGTGTGTGGGAATTCTGATTCCATAATCCAGAGTGCTGTTTTTCAGAACTCATTATGTAGGTGTGGGTTGTATAGGTTAGTGAACTGTCAATTGATCATTTTTGAAGACCAATGAGTCCCTAATCAATGAGTCCATAACTGCTGTGGTGGCGCAGTGGGTAGAGTGCAGTACTGCAGGCTACTTCTGCTGACTGCCGGCTGCCTATAATTTTGGCAGTTCAAATCTCACCGGGCTCAAGGTTGACTCAGCCTTCCATTGTTCTAAGGTGGGTAAAATGAGGACCTGAATTGTTGAGGGCAAGAGGCTGATTCTGTAAACCGTTCAGAGAGGAGCTATAAAGCACGGTAAAGCGGTATACAAGTCTAAGTGCTATTGTGGTGGTTATAATGTCAATAGGAACCAGTAGGTGGTATTCAGCAGGTTCTGCCCAGTTCTGGAGAACTGGTAGCAGAAATTTTGAGTGGTTTGGAGAACCAGCAAATGACACCTCTGATGGGAGATTTTACAGTATCCTTCCCCTGCCACGCCCACCAAGCCACGCCCCCAGAACTGGTAGTAAAAAAAAAATTAGGATCCCACCACTGATATGAACTCTTAGTGAGTTAGATGTATGTAGATAGATTTTCTCCAGGTCAAAATCCATATGGGATTATGCTGACCTTTAAAATAGCTTTTCGTCATTTCAACTTGCTTAGCGGGCGGGAATTGCCAGCAAAATTCACTGAATTATTTCTTTGCTCAATTTGAGGATTTGAGAAGGCATTTTAATTCAGAAAGGCGTGATAAACTATATTACGAGCTTGAATTTCTTTTTCTTACACCTTCAGGGAGCGTGACAGATGTCTTTAAAATCAATTCTTTGTGTAAATGTAGAAATAACTGGTGACTCAGTGATCGGCTAATTGATTCATAGGTGCTCATAAGAGACTTTTTAAAAAAAATGTTCTATCGTTTCTTTGAATTTCAGAACCCTCACTAACATCACAGCCTTCAGTTAAATTGTCTACTACTAACAGATCCAAATTAATCAGCCTTCTTAAAAAGCAATCCCTCACTCTCATTATCATCTTCCTTCCTTCCTTCCTTCCTTCCTTCCTTCCTTCCTTCCTTCCTGGAAACTAATCAAGGAGAGAACCAACCTTAGAAACTAGGGAGAAATTTCCTGTCAATGAGAACAATTGATCAGTGGAATGGCTTGCCTTCAGAAATTGTGATTGTTCCATCATTGGAAGCTTTCAAGAAAAGACTGGACAGCCATTGGTCTAAAATGATCTAAAATGGTATAGATTTTCCTGAGCCAGGGGTTGGACTAGATGACCTCCCAGGTGCCTTCCAACTCTGTTCTAGGTCAGGGGTGTCAAACTTGATTTCGTTGAGGGCTGCATCAGGGTTGTGTTTGACCTCGGAGGGCCAGGGGTGTGCGGGTGTGGCCATGTTGGGCATGGTCAGCGGTGGGCAGGACACGGGACTCGTGTTGGAGGCACCTGTGGTGTCCAAGTGTTAATGCAGGACTTCCCTGAGACCTTCCCTCACTCTCATTAACATTTTCCTTCCTTCCTTCCTTCCTTCCTTCCTTCCTTCCTTCCTTCCTTCCTTCCTTCCTTCCTTCCTTCCTTCCTCCTTTCATCCCGCGGCCCATTTTTGCTGTCATGAAGCTGCAGGAGGCTCCCCTGAGTTCTGTTTTCACTGGCAGAGGCACCGCAGGCTGGTCCTTTGCTATTTCCAGGCTGGACCCATGTGCAAGATTTAAACAACCCCGTGGGCTGCATCCGGCTTTGAGTTTGACATCCCTGTTCTATGTTCTAAATAAGAAGATATATTGTGTATAGGAGGAAGAGTCAAATGAGAAGTATGTGAGGATAGATGCATCCCTTTCACATTTTTTTTTTAAAAAACCCATAGGTATGTGACAGAGTCCTGGCTGACCAATAGTTGCTGATTTCTACACCAAGTGGTAAAACTTGCAAGCATCCTCTGAAAAGTAGATTCTAGCTCAGCTTTAACTCCACTGATCTGACTACTTTTTCTTAGAAGGATATAATAATAATCAGATTTCTTAATCCGTTATTACTTTGATCAAGCACAATGGATTTCTTCAGATCTGGTGTTGCTCACTATTGCAGAGATAATCTTCGAAATGCCACTGTAATGGAGTTGGCCCGTTACGGTTGTAAGTCATAACGGTCACAAAACAGATCAGTCACATGACCAACCCAATTTTTTGACCTATATGGCACGGGTTGTTAAACAAACGCCATAGATGTTGACCAAAACCCATGGTTTGCTATTGACACAGTTTTTCTGAAAAGTAACTGCTGGGTTTTTGTAGAATCATTGGTAACGGTAATGTGATTATAAGGTAAAAGTTCCCCTCACACATACGTGCTAGTCGTTTCCAGCTCTAGGGGTCAGTGCTCATCTCTGTTACAAAGCCGAAGAGCCAGCACTGTCTGAAGATGTCTCAATGGTCATGTGGCTGGCATGACTAAATGCCGAAGGTCCACAAAACGCTGTGACCTTCCCACCAAAGTGGTCCCTATTTTTCTACTTGCACTTTTTTATGTGCTTTCGAACTGCTAGGTTGGCAGAAGCTGTGACGAGTAACGGGAGCTCACTCCATTACGTGACGCTAGGGATTTGAACCGACGAACTGCCATCTTTGCTGATCGACAAGCTCAGCGTCTTAGCCACGGAGCCACCGTGTGTAGGACGATGAGCCACCAATTGTAAGAGGCCACAAAAGCTTCTACATGTGGCCATGCTGCCGAGCACGTGAATTTCGGCCATATGACCTCAGAGGGGGCCCAACTATCAGAACTTGGATACCAGGTTGTAAGTAGTAAGTCGTAAGGTTGTAAGTATTTCGCCCTGTCTTTCATTTTCCTTTTTGTTCCTTTAATCGTCCTTCAGCAATGTTTTCTTGCTTTGGACTCACTGGTGCCACTATCGATAAATAAAAAACTTGGATATCTTAATTGAATCTCGGGCGCCGTAGAAAAGATATCGCTCTGCTTTGGATAATGGACATTGCTACTCATCAGAGGAGACAATCTGGGGTTAAAGGGACTAGCGGACTGTTCAAGAGACAACCTTATCATTGCTCATTAGCAGCCCTGCCTCCGACGGACAAGGTCTCCATGCTTATACTTTCTGAAACATAACCTCAGGAACGGAGAGCTTTATCTCTGATCTCCAACGGATTTTAGATCACTGGAGTTCTGAAAATGCCATTAGTTCTTGAGCTTTGGATAAAGAATTATATTCCGTGGTGCAAATGCTGAATCTCTGGTTACAATGATATTGACCATAATTAACCGGTGAAAAGTTTGCCTTCAGAAGTTGTGGGTGCTCCCTCACTGGAGGCTTTTAAGAAGGGACTGGAGAGCCACTTGTCTGGAATGCTATAGGATCTCTTGCCTGAATAGGGGGTTGGACTAGATGACCTCCAAGGTCCCTTCCAACTCTTGTTATTCAATCAATCTGTCAGGTTTCCAAGTGATGAAATCCATTGAAAAAGAAGACAATTTCTTTTTATTTAGGAAAGCATCAAATTGGCAAAGTCTGTTGTAGTTCCAGATCTGACACAACTCGGAATTATACCACATAATATTGGAAGTTAGAAAGAGCCCCCAAAAGTCACATTCCCCAATAGAAGTAAATCAACATTGCCTGGTGTCATCATTCTCCACCTCCAGGTCTCAGCAGGTTCAGCTTTTGTTCCCACGGGAAGGAGAACCACCTAGCCTAAACAACTCTCTCTATCTCCATTCCTCCCACCTTAGGAATGTGGCAAGCCCGAAACCCCTCCCCCCATAACCAGCAAAGAGAAAGAAAGAAAAGGTATATATAATAAGTCTAAATATAATGGCTACGCATATGTCAATTTTGGGCTTGACACAATCAATCAGAATAGAGCTGGAAGGGACCTTGGAGGTCTTCTAGTCCAGCCCCTTGTTCAAGCAGGAGACCCAGCACCATTTCAGACAATTGACTGTCTAGTCTCTTCAGTGATGAAGCACCCACAACTTCTGGAGGCAAGCTGTTCCACTGGTTAATTGTCCTTTCTGTCAGAAAGTTTCTCCTTAATTCCAGGTTGCTTCTCTTGTTTATTGCTTTCCATCCATCATTTCTTGTCTTAAGTACCCTCTGGTACTTAAAATAAACTGACACCCCCCTCTTCTTTGTGGAGGTCCCTCAAATACTGGAAAACTGCTATCCTGTCACCCCGAGTCCTTCTTTTCTCTAGACTGGTGGTCAACGATTCACTTGTATGCATTCAAACTCTTAGATGCTTTGCGTAGTTTTATTTTCCAACCTCCCATAATTACCTCTTTTTTTTTCTCCTTCCAGTTTTATTGAGGGATTATTTCAGGTCAAGATCCTTGGAACAATTATTTTTCTTGATCAAGTCCATATAGAGGCAGTCCTCAATTCAGAACAGTTTATTTAATGATTTTTTGACGTTACAACAGCATGTTCGGACTCTACCATTTCCACATATTGCTGTGGCTCTTGCAGTAGCTTAGTGGGATTAAGTGCCATGTTCTGCTGTGATGTGTCGGGTGGAGAGATATTTTCAGACCGATGGGATTTGAAAAACCTTGAGTGCCGCCGTAACTTCTAATGCATGTTAACTTTATTACGTTGGCGTGTGAGGCATCTGCTCTCAGATTTCTCAATCACTTGGGGGTTACCAAAAGGAAAAAGAAAAAGCGATTAAAAACATTCTGATTTTCTTTGTGAGATGTTGTTGAGATGACAGTCAATTTGTGGCTAAGAAGGGGAGGTGGAAGATGGCAATGAAGCTGCCAACACATGGTAGCTTCAAAAGAGTTTGCTTGTTTATTCCATAAACGGTATCTTTGATCGAGAGATAATTAGATTGGAAAAAGGGAACGAATTTTTTAGCGTCAGAAGAAATCATCCTCTCTGTGTGTATTTTCTATCTTGGGGTGGGGTGGGGATTTAGTGTGTGAGTGTGAGAGAGAGAAAGAGAGGGAAGGGCGAAAAGAAATGCACGGATAGACAACTTCACAATATTATGTTTTTGGAAGTAGCAGTAGCACATCGACTTACATACTGCTTCATAGTGCTTTACAGCACTCTCTGTATACAATACCAGAGGTGGTATTCAGCAGGTTATGACCAGTTCTGGAGAACTAGTAACGGAAATTTTGACTAGTTCAGAGAACTAGCCAATACCAGCTGTGACTGGCCCCGTCTCCATTTATTCTCTGCCTCCCGAGTCCCAGTTAATCGGCTGGGTGTCTTCTTTGGGTTGCCCTGCACAGGAGAAGGGAGCTGGAAAGCAGGTTAGTGGGTTGGGGAGGGAATGGGGATTTTGCCGTATCCTTCCATGCCCACCAAGCAATGCCACAGAACCAGTAGTAAAAACGTTTGAATCCCACCACTTCTATTGCCTCTCTGGGTCCTCATTTTACCAACCTCGCAAGGATGGAAGGCTGAGTCAACTCTGCGTCCATCAGGATCAAACTGCTGGCAGGGAGTAGAATCAGCTTGCAATACTGCATTCGAACCACTGGGGTAATTCTTGCCGCACGAGTTAGTGACACGATTGTTCGGTCAATCTGGTTTCCCCCTTGAGTTTGCCCTGTCAGAAGGTTACAAAAGGGGATCCCATGACCTTGGGACACACAGCAGCGGTCATAAATAGCAACGAAGCATCCGGATTTTGATCACGTGACCACTGGGGATGATGCAACGGTCATGAGCGTAAAAAAATAAGTCACGCATCATTTATTTTCGGTGCTGTTGTGACTTTGAATGATCCCTGCGCGGAGGGTTGTAATTGGAGTCTGAAATGGTTTGGTGATGACCCAGGGTGGGATACAAAAGCAACAAAGTCACAAAACACAGGGGAAGTCCCTTTAATTCCTTCAACTTGGCTACAAAAAACAGTTTTGAAAAGGAAGAACTTCCGTTCAAACTCAAAATACATATAAATTATAAATAAAAAAAACAAAAACACAAACCACATTGAAGAATTAATGAGACAAGGCAGGATAATGGCTTGAAGACATCCACAGATATAGAAATATTTTCACGCTTTGCTTCCAGCACTGACCCATGCACAGTTTGTCCTTTGAAACAGTCCTCTCAGCTGCAGCCCATGAAGGGAATCAAGGCTCTTTCCTCCCCCATAGACCACGCCATTCACATTTCTCCCTTATCCGCTCCTCCCTGCGTGCCCTAGGATGAAAAGGGAATGGGCCTGGGTCTTCCTCTGAATGCTCAGTTGGGGTGTGCCCTTCCCCAGTTTCCTCCACAACCTCCGGAGCCACACTCCCACTCCCTGTTGGCTGTTTCCCCCTCTCCCTCACAGTCAGACTCCAACAGGGGCATGATAGGTATAGGTGTTCTGACCAAGGCTTCTGAGACCGTAATTACACCCATGCTTATTTTAGAAACAAGTCTTGTTTTATTGCAACGCTGGGTATTATTTTCATTCCCAGCTGGTAGTGAGTCTCAAACAGTCCCTCAAGATAAGCACCCTCCTTTCTTTTCTGTGAAGTCCTGCCAATAACAGAAGTGTCAAATGAACTAGGAAAAAACACAACTGAAGTACAAAGAGCTTCAAGAATGAACCTGAACCGAACGAACGACTTTGCTTCCTGCAAAGGTTTCGTCATCTTGGCCTGACCTTTATACCTTATGGGAGGGGCAATCACCTCTCAGACTTACTCCCGAGTTGCCCCATTTGTTTCAGCTGCTCTCCCCTTCTAGCAGCTCTGCGCACACATGCACTGGGAACAGGCTCCCCTGGGTCCTCTGCCTCGCTGCTGCCAGACTCTGAAGGCTCTGGAGTCAGCACTCCACTCCCAGATGGTCCTGACCCCATTTCTGCATCAGATGCAGGACCCTCGTCCGGGTCCTCTCCAGAGTCCTGGACTGGTCCCTGTTCTTCCCCACTGTCCGATTCCGCTGCCATCTGTGCAGGCTTTCGGCGAACCACAACAATAGGGACTTCCTTCCTGAGCAAGGGGTTGGACTAGAAGACCTCTAAGGTCCTTCCAACTCCATTATTCTGACTGTCACCTGTATTTTAGCTGGCTGACAGCAGTCTTTATCTTTCTTTTCTCCCATTCCTAAAACCCTGAACTCTTAAACGGGCAATGTTTACATCTGCTCAACTTGTATGCCGAAACAGATTCTATTGTTCAACATGTTCAAAACTCCTGGAATCATTCTTGCAGGCTGAATCCTCGCTTCTCTTTGTGCAAGCCCTGGCAATTCACCTGACTTCAGCAGGAGGTTTTGTTCAGTAAATCTTTTGCTCTTTCTGACCATTGATGGACTCCAGAGCTGACACAGCAAACAATGCAAAGACGAGCAAAGAGGTGGAAGTGGGTTGCACTCTCTCTCTCTCTCTCTCTCTCTCTCTCTCTGTGTTTTATTTTATTTTATTTTTAATTGAGCCAACCTTTCTCCAGTAGCTTTTAGAGGCCAAGTCTGAAGCAGAAAGACTTTTTTTTTTAAAGAAAATAAATCACCTCTACAATGGAAAAGTTTCTCCTTAAAACACAAATGTTATCCTTAAAGGCTACGTGTTTAGGGTACAGATTTTTCCACAACGTGACTCTACAAGAAGAGAAAAGAGAAGTTCTGCGGGGTCATTTGTCACTGCAGAGAGCTTGTTGCTTGTTTGGGAGCACCATCACTTGAGACTTTCAAGAAGAGACAGGACTCCCATCTGTCAGAAATGGTGTAGGGCCTCCTGCTTGGGCAGGGGGTTGGACTAGATGACCTACAAGGTCCCTTCCAACTCTGATTATCTGCTTCAACACTACCTCCTCCCCCACACCGCACCTACTACAGTCATTTTGAGCCAGTTTGGCCTAGTGGTTAGAGCACTAGGCTAGAAAGAAGGTTGACACTGAGTTCTAATCCTGCCTCAGCCGTGAAAGCCAGTTGGGGGACACTGAACCGACCATAAGAAATTTTAGCTTTAGTTCTGCCTTAGACATGAAAGCCAGTTGCCTGACTCTGGGCTGCTCACCGGGCGATCGTGAGTTCTAGTTCCAACTTAGGCATGAAAACCAGATGGGTGACAGGATAGTGGGGAATGGAATGATTTATATTCTTCGCAGACAGACTTTTAGCTATACAATTTGGGATGAAGACCCTTGGACTGGTGTGGGAATGGATTTCCAGAGGAAAAATTGCAGACTACAGGAACCAGAAGTACTACTCGGGTGACCCTGAGGACACAGATAAACCTCCAAGTGGCCTCAACGACCCTCTCAAAGA